AGAGAGAGGGAGAGAAGACCGGACAGAGAAAAGGGCGCTAGAGAGCGAGAGAGAGAGAGAGAGAGAGAGAGAGAGAGAGAGAGAGAGAGAGAGAGAGAGCGAGGAACACTGTGACAGGTGTGAAATAACTATAGATGCCTGCTTCTCATCCATCACATGTATCCGGGTGAGTTCACATTAGAGGAGCGATGCGCGTATACTCTATAAAAACCGATCGCATGCCATTACTGTGTGTTCCCACGTCGCTTCTATAATCAATAATACTATTATACTTCAATCGTCCGCCTTCCCTGCGCTGGCTACAGTGGAACATTTCCCGTGCTACAAGTGTGTGATGTGTGTGTGTGTGTGTGTGTGTGTGTGTGCGTGCGTGCGTGCGTGCGTGCGTGTGTGTGTGTGCGTGTGTGCGTGTGTGTGTGTGNGGGCGGATTAGGAGGGAGAGAGAAAGATGATGAGAAGAGGAGAGAGCAGAGAGAGAAAGTGAAAGCGTGCAGCGTTTCGTCTGAGCGAGAGCGAGAGAGAAAGGAGGAGGAAAAGAAGAAAATAAACAAGGAGAGAGCGAACCGTGTGGAGGAACAGAGAGGAGAAGAGAGAAAGAGAACGTGGACACGTGTGGTGAGAGAGAGAGAGAGAGAAAAGAGCGCACGAGAAGAGAGAGAGAGAGAGAGAAAGACCGCGCACGAGAGAAAGAGAGAGAGAGAGAGAGAGGAGGGCGCGGCGAGTGAGAGAGGAGAAAATGAGGAGAGGAAGAGAGAGAGCGAGGGAACACTGTGACAGGTGTGAAATAAACTATAGATGCCTGCTCTCATCCAATCACATTGGTATCGCGGTTGAGTTCACATTATGAGGAGCGTGCGCGTATACTCTATAAAACCGATCGCATTGCCCCATTACTGTGTGTTTTCCCCACGACCGCCTTCTATAAAATTCCATATAATACTATCTAATTACGCTTTCAATCGTCGGCCCTCTTGCCTGCCGGCTGGCTACCCAGGTTGGGAACAATTTTCCCCGTTTGGCAAAACAAGTGTGTGATGTTGTGGCTGTGTGTGTGGTGTGTGTGGTGTGTTGGTGTGCGGGTGTCCGTGCGGTCGCGCTATGCCCCTGCGATGTGTGTTGGTGTGGCGTGCCTGTGCGTGTGTGTGTGTGTGCCGTGAGTGCGTGTATAGTGAGCGTACGTGTGTGCGTGCGTGCGTGTGTGGCGTGTGTCTCGTGTGTAGGGGAATCGTGTGGATATTATGCGGCAGGGCGTATATATTTAAAATATCTAAAATGAACAATGTTATATTTATTCTTTTGTTTTGTATATTGTTGTATCGACGAAAAATAGCGGGGTATATATGCTCCGCATTATACATAATATAGATATATATATATAATATAACTATACAGTAATATTGTGTCACACTTATATATCAGCCTGTGTTGCTAGCATCTATGACAAATCGACATTTACGGCAATTAATTTTTGACGCTCTCCTATGATACTATTTGTCATAGGAAAGCATTCTTCCTATGACAAAACTATTGTTGCATGTGTTGTGGCGCATCATAGGAAGCGCTATTATGAACGCAAGCGGTGAATTTCAGATGTTAAAGCGGAACGAAGTTGACTCGCCAATGATTTGTCATAGGATAAAATCTTCTATGACAAATAGTGTCATAGGAGAGCGTAATATGCGTTATGTCGTATTTGTCATTAGATGCCACAGCAAACATGTTTGTATATATGTTTATAATATATTCTTAATGTGTGTGTGTTGTGTGTGTGTGTTGTGTGTGTGCTGTGTGTGTGTCTGTGCTGTGTGTGTGGTGTGTGTGTGTGTGTGGTGTGTAGTGCGTGCGCGTCGCGTGCGTGTTGTGTGTGTGTGTGGCGTGTGTGTGTGTGTATGTGTGTGTGTGTGTGTGTGTGTGTCGTGTGTGTGTGTGTGATTTGTGTGCAATGTGGCAAATATATTACATATATTTATGGCATTGTAAGTCACGTGTTTGTAAAATGTCGTTAGAAAAATAAACGCAAAATGTTAAACCAATACAGTCATCAAACTTCTGTTGTTAAATTTTTGATTTCACTACATATCACAGCATTAACAATCACTACATATATAACAAGAACACAAAATCTCGTCAATCGGTAAGCAGCATATGGAATATTAATTTGTTCCTAATGGCAGCTTAATTTTAAATTATTAATATTAATATAATAGTTATTTAATAGTTTCGTACTCGTGCGTACGATCAGGGCGTCTGTCTCCTGGCGCCACGCCCCCCCCCCCCCTCCTTGTCAGTTGATGATTGTGTAATCATAAATTCCACTAACCGTCCGTTTCCCATGCGATCGGGAATGATAGTTAAGTAGAGCATGCGATTTCTGCTCGTCGACTGATCTATCGTTGTGTCAGCGTCACCATTGTATGCGGCCACCTGGCGGCGGTTGGGACTGCAACTCTGTGCGACATTTTTCGCTGGTTGAGTAATTGAAGCGGATTGTTGGAACTTTGGTTTCCTTGTTTCTCCGTCTGCAATTTTGCATTGATAATGAGTAATATATAATGAGCATAGATAATCAATACAATACACGATGGTCATAAACACACACACACGACGGGCACACGCACGACGCACACACACACACACACAACACACACACACACACACACACACACACAACACACACACACAAACGCACGCACACCACACACACACACACACACACACCACACACACACACACACACATGCGGTCAAATAACACACACATCACGCGGCTCACACGCACACATCACACACACACACACACACACACACATGCGGTCAAACACACACACACGCGTCACACGCACTACACACACGGACACACACACGACAGCACATCACAACACGCACACACACACACACACACACACACACACATGCCGGTCAATACACATCCACACACGCGGCACACACGCGACACACACACACACACACAACACACACACACACACACACACACACACATGCGGTCAACACACACACAGCGGGTCAAACGACACACACACACACACACACACACACACACACGTGCACAAACACACACACCACATACACACACACACACACCACATGCGCACCATGCACGCACAGACACACTCAAACACATACACACAGCAGCGCGCGCCGCACACGCACCACACACAACACACGCACACGCCACACACACACATCACGACACACACACACACACACACACTCACACACACTCACCACACACACACACCACACACACAACACACATACACACACACGCACACACACCAAACACGGTACACACCACAGGTAGCGCGCGCACACAGCGGAGTATAAGACAGGGCGCACTAGGACCGTTCGCATGCAGGGCGGAACACAGGCCGGCACACACAAAACAGACACACACACGCACTCACACACGCGCTTCGCGCACACACACACACACACACACACACACACACACACACACACACACACACACACCTTGTGATCACGATGTACGCAGTAAGACCAACGATGAGTAACACGGCCACGGCTGCTGCCACCGAAGCCACCACCATAAACAGCTTTCCTCCGCGAGCAGGTGGCGCCACCGTCTCTGCTGGGGCCGATATCGCAGAACCGCTGCTCACTTCGCTTGTGAGTATAGAGGGCGTTGCGGTGCTTTCATTGACACCATCTAGAGGAGATGAGGCAGGTACGTACAGAATTTGATTCCAAGTCAATTATCTGACGTATTTCGCGATTTATTATATTATATTTCATTATATTACACGTTAATTGTTGTGATTACTTGTCGACTGTTTTTCACAATTTCCGTGATTAGTCCGTATTTTGTCAGACTTTCTAGTTCATAGTGTCATTCCACTAGATACTAGCAAAAGAATCCTGTGTCAAAGGAATTCACCAACAACGTCTAAAGTACGAACCCGTATGAGTCCGCATCGTTCCCATAGATGGCGCCACGGGTACGGTGGTTGACTGCGGCGATAACATTTTCATCCCTACACTATTATACACGCTGTACGCTGAAAAATTACGGTGTGACTTCATTTTATCTGCTGGCATTATGTCTGTCTGACAGTCATTAACGCAAAGGCAGGGTGATTGATCGTATTGGGAATTAAAATTGGTTTCTATTAATAAAAATAATAATTAGTATTATAATTATAATAACAACAATAATAATAACAACGATATAATAACAACAACAACAAATATATTATATAGTGGTAGTAGTAGTAGTAGTAGTAGTAGTAGTAGTAGTAGTAGTAGTAGTAGTAGTAGTAGTAGTAATAGTAACAGTAGTAGTAGTAGTAGTAGTACTACTAATAGTAGTAGTAGTGTTAGTAGTAGTAGTAGTAGCAATATTATTATAATGATCCATGTAGAGACGCCCGCTCTCATACTTTTCTACGTTACCTTCTACAAACGCCTCAAAGCCTTGATAAACCGCCGCTGGCTCCCCCTTGAGGTAGATGACAACCGCGTTCGTCTGCGACGTGATGTACACGGACTGCATCTCATTGCAGGTGTCCAGCAGGTGGCGCTGCGCTCCGCCCACGTACTCATATATGTCGAACCGCGAGTTGGCGACGGCGCTGCAGACGCCGTAGGTTACGTGGACGAGCAGACGCCGCCCAGGGGGCGCCACAAGCTTCCACCAGCACTGCTGCGATGTGAGCTTGACGGCCTGCTGGATGACGACGACAGGTGGCGCTGCTGTGGTGCCGACGTCGATGCTGTCGGCGGCAAATGATCGGCATTCGCCATGCACGGGAGCAACTGTAAGGATTGTAGTTACTGGAGCGTGATTGTAGATTTACACACACACACACACACACACACACACACACACACACACACACACACACACACACACACACACACACACACACACACACACACAC